GAGGCAATTTGAAATCTGGATAACCAGAGTTTCTGTTCTATAGATTAGTTTTGAGCCTCCAGGTCACTGTATTTGGGAAGAAAGTAGGGATTTCCATTTATCCAGCCCAAACATAGGTTTATCTTTGTGGTTTGGATTTGATAGCTTCCAGGTTTTTTGCTTTGTTCACATGATTAGCATATAGGAGAAAGGTGTGGGTTCAGGAGTTTCTTGGATTTCTCCATCACTCTGTGGGTGATCTTTTATTTTTCATAATTTTAAAAGTTGTTTACAATGTTGCCTGTAGAGGAGGTCTCAGCATTTGTCCTTCTAGTCCAAGTGTGTCTGTTCTGAATGAGGAGGCACTACATGGTCTTGGGGACAGATCTTCCCCATCACATACTACCTGATATTTTTAACAGCTGCTGCTGTATTAATTATGTCAGGTTTTATTGTTTTATTATCTTTTAAGCTACCTTGAGGCAGCTTTGCGGTCCACAAATGTTTAAAATAAATAATGTCCAGATCTGCAATGAATTAGCATTCCCCGTGCTATTTTGAAATTAGTATTATACCTGTTGTCAGATAAATAGCAGCGTGCTGGTGAATGCTTTTAGGAAGATAACTACTTGACAATATAACAGCTTTTGTATAGCATCTTGTATTAAATTTAGTATCCTGGATAAATTGAAACATATCCAGAATGTTGTTTAATGTGGATTCTGGTGGTTAGAAAACAACATTTTTGTAGAGTACTCTGCACTAGTACTCTGCAAAGTACTTTTACACACGGTGATCCCAAGAAAGTTTAACTGCATTTATTTTGTTAAAACAAACTGATTATTTGGATGCAATTTAGGTCCTACAATTAACTTAGGCTCCATGGGTTTCACTGGGGCAATCTTTTTCCTAGAGTAGAGACATGTACTTGTAGATCATGCATACGGATGGTAAATAAATGTGCTTTAAGAGGTTAGTCTGATAATACAGGAGAATTCAGGCGCTGGCACAATGCTTCCATAGCCTAATTGCCCTCATGCCCCACGTTGACTACATTTATGCATGGCAGTTAGTGATTAGGGATGGAATAATGTGGGGGTCCTGTGAACTATATTATCTATGCTCCCACCCCATTACTTCCCCTCCCCACCCCACCTGACATCAAATAATGGTCCTCTATTCTCTAGCAGTTTGATCCAGACTCCAGTTTTTGGTCTGCAGAACATTGCTAGGCAAAATAAGGTCACCTAAGCTGGAATGCACTGCCTGTGGTTCTGCTGAAGAGAGAACTCCATGGTGGCTGTGTTGAGGCTGGAATAAAAGCTGCTGTAATTTTTTCTTTCAATCATTACAGTAGTTTCTTCAGCAGATTCCTTGAGTATACATTTTTCCATCTGTTGAAAATTGGTTTTAATGAGGGGAACACATTTTAAAAGAGCCTTTTTTAAAAGCCTGTACTTTCCAGTTTTATAATCATATGATAAAATGATTAAAATGATGCAGTTCACTGGTTCACTTAATTCAATATTGTCTATTCTGAATTTCAAGCACAATTTCAGGCAAAGATCTTTCTTAGTCCTCACTTTTTAAAAACTTGGACCGAACGTTTGATACTCTGCTTTACTGCATTTTGCCAATAAGCTTTGCCTTCATTTTCTTTTATAGAGTAGGGCACCATTTTATATAATTTTCTTTTGAAGGCAAGACGCTACACTGTACAGGAGCAGTACTATGAATCAGGTGTCTTTGGCAGCAGCACTGTTGTAGAACCAACCACACAATAAACTCCAGACTACACCTGTACAGTGGTATAGCTCGTGCATTATTTTCAAAAAGTCCCAGGTCCATTCCATGGCATTTCCAGTTAAAACTTAGCAGATGATGGAAAAGACCTCTTTCTGAAACCATAGAAAGCCACTGCTGGTCAGAATTAACTAGCTCAGGGTAGGTGTGTTTTCCCTTGAATAGCTAAAGCATGGCTGAAGTCCCAGGTGTGAGAAAATCATGTTTATAAACTGTGAATTTAGATTGAATAGGTACTCTTACATGAATACATAAGCTAGAGGGGCTACCTGTTGGATTTATTTATCCTAGAAAAAGACAAAACTGCCACTTCCTAGTTCATTCATTAAGATTTTATCTCCCACCTTTCCTCCAAGGTTCTCAAGTCAGTACTCACAGTTTCCCTGCTGTGTTTTAGCCTTGCACCCACTTTGTGAGGCTGAGAAGTCGTGATTGGACCAAGTCCACCCAGTTCATCTCATGGCTAAGAGGGTATTTGAACCTGGTGGCTTTACCATTCCTCCTCTGACATGTCCGACCATCACAGACTCTGCCACCTGCATGGTGCATTGTCACAGAGGAGAAGCACTGTTGGGTTGTTCATCCAATGGTTTAACCTTTGTCTCCTGGGCAGTTTTTAAGTGTACCTCCTTATCCCAGCATACCATTCAAACCTGTTAGATATTTTAGGAAAATATTGATGAGGGAAATGAAATGCCTTTAGCACCTTTAAACACTTCAGTATTAAGGCATAAGATGTAGTAGAGTAGTAAGAAGTAGACTTATCTACTCCTGCAGATGCATCAACTGGTATCCTGAGTTACCAGTATATTTGCACATGTTTGGAAAGGGGTGGGTAGGTGTTATAAACAAGTCAGAGGGAATTGATATTTTTGATACTGCTGGTTCCATTCCATGTTGTTAAGAAACATAGTCCTGTCCCATAGGACTGAAAATCCCTTTGTTAAAACTAAGTGAGCTATACCAATTGTGGTCATATCTCTCTCTGCTTTTAGTCATAGTCTTCTGATATACAGAGTATATTTGTGCATTGCTGGCAAACCAGACCAAACCCTACTCCCTCCCACTAATATGCACTGTAAAGAAGAGTTTTCATATGCGTTGTAATGCATCCATTTATTCTACACATATTCTAAAGCACTTCTTCCCATCTCAGTTTCATCCAGTTTTCTAACCCACTTCTTCCAAAGGATCTTCACTTCCTCCTGAATTTATCATGCACATTGTTAGGTTTCCCTGAGCTGATTTGTTCCAAAAGAAGAACAACTGGTGTTAAAGGGCTTGTGTGCAGCAGGGATGGGAGGAGACAGATTGGAAGAAGTATTCCAAAAGCATATGAAATCATTCACAGGGATGTCCATTGACCTTTACAACTGTTTTCTAAATCTTTCCATGATTTGGAACAGTTTTGTCTTGTGAGGCTGTTTTCTTTCTGACAAAGCACTAAGGATGCTGTTGCCAAAGGCAACCTTCTAGCCTGAGCTAAAGACTAACATATTCTGCTCCAACTTGTTAGTTGCCCTGGGACTCTAAATGAAGGAAAGCATACTTTGGCCCCATCTGTGGGCCAAGGGATTGGGCACTATTAGGCTTTGTCTGCTGGGACTGAAAGAAGGAAAATGAGACTCTTTCAACTTTCTCCTCAACCCCAGTCACATGTAGGTGCATCATCTCTTCACCACTGCCTCTCCCTTTGTTGTCTCCCCTGTGTAAAAATGTCAGATTGCTTGCAAATTGCAAATTTTCTGAGTACTGAGGCCCCTTTGCACTTCTTCAGCTGTCTGGGGCTGGAAACAGCTGAGGAGCTCTCCCCAGCATCACAGTTGGGCAAGGAGAAGAGATGTGCTTTAAATGGGGAGGATTCTCACCATGTGCCATCCTCTCTAGGAAAATTATGCTCCATACAGCCTACCTGACTGGTTGGACTTGAGACTTGGTTCTGGGTCTGCAACTGTTAAAAGATTAGGGAAGCCCAGATCTACAGAAGCATCCACAAATCAGCTCATGCAGAGCAGAAGCCTGGTGCAGTGCACCTTCAGGAAATAAGAAGTTCCTGTTTTATTTTTGAAAATATAGGTTTACTCATACTCCACTACCAGAATATGTCATCACTTCATGTAAGCTTTTTCTTTTTCAATCTGTATGAATTATTCTGTTTGAAGCTGTATGCATTTGTTTGGACTGATGTGCTACAAGAGCTCCGGAAGATCTTTCAGCTGGGAATCCCTTGCTCACTGTACCTCAGAAGCCACACATGTTTAGCTGAGGGGGCCTAGCTGGGCTTGTGGGATTGCAGTTCTGCCTACTATTGTGCCCAATCTTTTATTGCTTTTTGCTGCTGTCACTGTCAAACGCCACTGTGTGGCAACATTGTAAGTCTAAGCCACACAATGGGCCGCACAGTTTGGAAAATAGTAAAGAGCCTAATGGAATAAATATGTAAAATGTGGCAGATAAACATCTCATGGTCCATCCCTTTGGTATCAATATAAAGACCACTTAATAAGTGCCACATTGAGGGGTGAGAAAATTCGTATACTGGTTGTTCAGAGTAAATAATAGGACCTGGCTTCCAGATCATTGTAGAATTTGTGTGATATATGACAATGAATTAATGTGTGCAAACCTATCTCTTTTTATCAGTTGAATAAAGCTGTTACTGATTTCAGTAAATATCATCTGCTTACCAGAATTCTAAACTTGTTGGGATCATGGGAAACAAAGGTTTCCTGCTTTGTTTTGCTTGTGAAATTACATGTTCTAAATTCTTCCCAGTTTTCATTTGCAAACACATTAGAAACCGATTGCTTGGTTTGTGTCTTGAAGTTGTATACAGTTGAACTTGTTCTCTAATAGTAGTTCAGGTTAGAAGGGGAGGTCAGTGAAGGCAGACTACAAAATCCACTTTGCTATTTTATTATGAGCAAAAAAAGGTTATTGGAAATGGAGTTTTCCACAAAGGATCAGCTACAACATATAAATTATCACCTGCAAATGAACATTTGCAAGCAAACTCATGCTTTTGCCCTTTTATGCTTGTTCTTTACTGTAGTTTTTACATTTTTTTTTAAGTAGCAAAAATCTGTTTATGGTAAGTGCCAATACGTGGTTGTTACTGTAACTGTACTTTAGAATTGTTCTGTTTCTTAACCTAGATTTTATTTTACAGAATGTCTGTATAAATGCATTCATTTTACCATCTTTTTTTTTTTTTTTAGGGCAAAAGGTGTTTGAGAAAGGTAGTGGATCACATATAAAAGAACAGAAAGAGTTACCTGCATATCTTCTGTCTTCGTGAAGACCAAATCCTCCCAGGACTTTACAGTTTGGTTGTTGTACAAACATTTAATTTATCTGCTCTAAACTGTGATTTTTTTTCAAATATAGAGCAGTATTACTTGGTGAAAATAATCTTCCGTGTGATGCAAAGCAGAGTCTGCAAACTGAAAGAAAGTTTTTAAGAATTGCTTTGTTATCACATTTTCCCCTCTCTGTTTTTTCTTGGGGTGGTGTTCAGGATGCCACCAAAAAGAATCAGCACATCACACCTTTGTACATCTTCCTGGACTTGGGGTCAACTTCTTTTGTAGCACACTGACTCTGTGATTAATAGAACATTTGAGCAAGTATGCTTGGTGATATGTTGTCCTGTTTCTTCTGAAGCCTTCATTATCCAGTGATCTCCCACACTTAATTTAAGGCAGCCTGTTACAACAAGGGCTTCCACAGATGCATCCTTGCTTGGATAGCTGGCCAGGTCAACGTCAGCACCATCAGTTTAAGATAAGTCCAGTTTTTCATCTGCTTCTTCCAGGAGGGAAAGTGGGATGAAGCTAGGATTCGTACACTAGATGCTGGCATCAGAGCCAGGCTTCTTTAACCTGGTGAGCTCTGGATCCATTATCCACAGCTACCAGGTCAGTGATACATGGGGATGATCAGAGTTACAGTCCAAGACATACAGAGGACATGTCAGCAGGGAATCTAATATAGTCAGTCATGCAGAGGTTTATTGAAAATGCCATGTTTTAGCTGTAGACTTCAAAAGCAGCATGCATACCATTAAAATACAAATAAAACTTCAAAATCACAACAAATCCAATAAATCACAATACACTGACCAGTTTCTTAGAAGAAAAGAAGGAAAACCAGGGAGACAACAATGTATCCAGCAGGAGAGAACATTGAAGCATACAGCACACAGGCAGTATCCTGCTAATTTGTGTACATCTCTGTTTCAAGGCCACTGTGGTTAAGAAGCAGCTTAGTAAACAATGTACTTCAAAAGGCGTTTTTTCTTATTGAGCAGAATATGCCATTTGCTTAAATTGCAGAATAGGTATCTGAGGTAGGTACCTCATCTGTGTATTCTGTACTAAATGTGTCAGTTTCTCTTTGTTACTAGACCATCTGGTAAAATCTGTAACTCTCCTAGGATTAAAAAGTGAGTGGATTTTGGAAGAATGCTTGAAACTGCACATCTGTCTTTTACAACTTCTGGCACATGTATAAATGATAAATGAAACTTTTAAAAAACGGGTTCAATAGTCTTTGTTAGTGAATTGTTATCAGAGGGTGTGATTTTTTTTTCTTCCTTCTTGTAGTGCAGCTTTTTAATGATATCACTTATTTACAGAGAATGAATATTTAGTTATCAAGACTGTAAATTTGTGATTTAGTTCTGATACTGTAACAGACAGTCCCCATGGTCATAGCAAATCTGGCAGTCTCCTCTCCCATTTCATGGTATGCACTTATGTCTGACAGTGTAGACCAACATTAAAAATTCAGAATTTTAGTAAGTGATAAATGCTTGCCTATGTTGGAAAAACACACAGCATTAATGTAACTAGCATGGACTTGGTAACTGCCTACATACTAAGACCATCATTAAATTTTGACCTGGTTTACAGAGCATATATTGTTGAACTGTGTATTTTTGTCACATGCAGACCCTGCATTATAGTCTTGTTTACACACAGCCCAGAGCTCACAACCCAGCAAGAAACCATGTGTTTGGCACTAAACATTACCCATGTTTTAACAACCCATGCTCCGGGTTGTCACTAACAGTTCGTTGGGTTATACATACATGCATGTCTACAAACACAGTCAGAAAATGAGACTGCAGTCCTATACCCATTTATGTGGATTGCTATAGGAATTAGTTTTGACTGGCATCTATAAAATTGTGCATATTCTACAAATACTGATAATCACCCATTCCCAACAGAAGTATTTGCCATTCCTGTTTCTAGAACTACGTTATTTACCTGCTTGATTGACACGGCCTTTCTTCATGCCAACAGCACATCACCCCCGCATGAGAATGTTCCTTTACAGATCTTCAGCAATCCTCTGCTGATTCTTAGAATTCTTTCATTGACCTAAGGCCAGACTGGGTCTGCTGTTACTTGCCACAGCCAACTAAGCTAAGGGGCGCAGTACAAGCTTGTACTGAGGCTTTAGGCTAGGTCTTAAATGTCAGTCATGGATTATGGTGTATTAACAGTGACTTAGGTCGAACCTTTTCAACCTTTCTTGTCTTTTAATGAGATATACACTTTGTGTAGAAATTCAGTGTAAAGCCATCAGGGATTCCCTGTTCCCCCAGCCAACTGGGCAAAGTCCCACTCAGAATTTCACTTGTCCCTCAATTCCTGAACCAGACATTGAATTCAGCACATGACAACCCAACAAGTTTATTAGAAAACTAAAACATGGGTGGAGGGCACTGAAACATTTAGGCTAAAAGGATAAAATAGGGTAAAATGGGGAAGGGAAGAAGGGAGTCAGAAAGCAACAATGGTACAGTTTACAGCCATCCAATCACCCCCAGTCCCAGGGCCTTGTTGACCCAGTTGGACCTGAAAACAACAAAGCCAACCCTTGTGTCAGCTCTACACAGAAACTACTTTAGTCAGGGTCAAGATTTTCACCGTGCTTCAACAGGAAATAGGCAGCAGAATGGATCACACAGAGAGGAACAAAGAGCCCTTTCCAAGCCTTTATTCCCCACTATCAATGATCAGCTCATCTGTGGGGCAATAGCCCATCTCCCAGTCCTTAGGGTCAATGATTTACTCCTGGAGTTGGTAGTTAACCGCTCATTGCTGTTACCTCCAGCATCCTTGAAGCCATAATTTCTGATAACTCTCAAAAATACAAAGGGAGGAGGATGGCTCTCAAGACTGGGTGCCAGATTCCTACTGAGCTGACACCAGAATTAATAGCATTTAACCATTACAGTATGAACCCTTCTCTTGCTTCCTGTGAGCCAAAGGGCCAGTTCACATTACAATAACATTCTGAAATAATGTATCGAATGATTATCAAATAGTTCTAGATCCATATACTGGAAGAATTGTATCATTATTTTAAACCAGTCCTTCAGGAAAGAGTCCAAACACCAGTTCTTATAATTTTTTCCCAATGGCAGTAAAAGCTGTAGAGAACATAGTTACTGAGTTTGCACATGCCTATATTATTGGGGGCTCAGTGCAGCTACTTATCAATTCAGGGCAACCCATTCACTCATGAGGGTGTGGACCTGCCCCGTGTCAATGTAGCAGCTGAAGTGAAAGTCATAGTAAGTGATTTGGAAGGTCATATTATGGACCGTCATTACATTTATCCTAGATAGTTCTGTTGCATTGTCATCTATTGGCTATTTTTGCCATGTACTAGTGGATTAAATCTCTTTTTTAACCCCAGCAAGGAGTTGTTAAGCTGATTAATAAATCACACAGAACTTATCGGCCATTTTAGGACTTGACAACCACCCTAGCAGGCCACTCTTTCAGGTTCTCCCTTTGTAACAAGCTACAGCATACCCATCAAGTCACTTGAACATCCAAAAGACTGCCACCATTGTAATGAGAACCCTCAGGAAACATCAACCCACAGTGGCTTCTTAGTATACGCAAGCCAGGCCAGTGTTTCCCTACATCATTCCTATAAAAAAAGTACTCTAAGTGGTTTAAGTAAATGTCTTATATCTTAGACTATTTAGCAAACTGGCATTGTGTTATACATAACCTTATGTAATATATGAAGTAGTATGTGTAATTCCCTCTCTACCATAATTTGGGAATGATTCCAACAGGCCATAGCACATGATACCATTGGATGCCATTGACTGCCAGTCAATCAAGTACCATAATTTATGTGACTTCTGGATTTCTTGTTTTCGAGTATGCTTAGCTAATGGACCAGATATTCATCTAAAGTAAATCCTCATCAGTCTTAAAGCCCCACCAGCTGCAAGATCAGTTCATGATTGTGTGTGTGTTTGGGTTGGGTGGGAGGCTTGTTAAAATATACAGAGTCAAGATCTTGGACAGGATATTAAATATGACTTCGGGTATGTAGTTTTAGGAACTTTTCCAAAGCAACAAAAAAAGTCGACAGAAAGTAGTTTAGACCAATACATATATATAAGGGAAATTTATATATCAGTGGGCAGTGTATCTTTTTCATGTTTTATTCAAAAGCAGTTCAGGTCATCGGGAAGGGCTTCCATTTTAAATTGGGTATAAAGTTCATTTTCAGCATGAAAGATTCCTTAATTAAGAGGCAACACAGTCCATACTAAATCATTGTGGTTTCCAAATTTGCTACCTGGGGCATGGAGTTATGGTTATACCCAGTGGGTTAGATCCACTGAGTATAAACTAGATCCATCGAAATTAATGGAACATAAATTAGAGACAACTAATTGAGGCCCATTAATGTTGATGGCCCTATTTTAAGCATAGCTAAATTTGGATCCTGCCAAGTCTATGCTCTGACCTAGGATGCACCTTCTGCCCATGCAAAGTCTCCCTTGCTGAATGAAAGTGATGCTACACAGGCCAATGAAAGTGAGGTCTCCTCTGTGTAGCATTTCCATGGGTCTGGAGAGGTTGTCATGAGAAGAAAGGGTGAAAAAAATCCATTTCCATAAGCAGAGTTGGTCTAACATAAATTTGGATCCAAATCATATGTATGTGGGAAATGATGCAACACACATGACTAAACTAGATTAGACTAGATATGGCTAAGTCTCCTTGCAGTTGCAGAGTATACCCATTCATATTTCCTCCCACCATCCTGCCCCTTCCCCCTTTGCCAAAATAAGTTAGGAATGGAAGTTGCTTTGGGAAGCAATAGTAAGGCTTCTAGGAATGCCGTATGTGTGTTAGAGACATTGTAGTGCATTATGCACAGTCATCCTTGAAATGTTGCCCATATGTTGGAAGAAAGGGAGCATCAATACTCTATAGGCCTTCTTTGGTCTCAGAAGCTATGCAGAGCAAGGGTTGTTCAATGTTACCCGCTTCATTTTCCAAGGCATTCTAATGCTTCTGATGTGTACCAAAAGTCCTGTAATCACGGCCACAGGACAACACCAGAAAAAAATTCTCAAATTTTCATGTGCTAATTTACACAAGCTGTAAAGTCTCTCTGGAGGGGAGAAGTAGACATTTGATTTTAGGGGGAAATGCAAGCAGAAAGATGCAAGCAAGTTGGGCAACAGAAAGTGAAGTACATGTGGGCAAAAAACCAGTAATCCAAGGGGATCAGATGCAACATCAGGAACTCTGGACCTTTATTTCAGTCGGTGCCCATGGACAGCAGGGGGTGGAGGAGATGAACTCCTGGAGATTTGGGGTTCAAAGCCCAGCACACCACTGAAGAACCACAGGTGAAAAGTTGACGAAAGGTTTCTAAAGGCTGCAATTAGTAGCTTGAACAAAAACTACATGACCATGAAAGGGGATGCATCCGAACTGATGAATGTCTGCTAAATTCTGCTGCTATCCAACAGGAAATAAAGTAGCCATGTTCCATGTATTTTCTTTCATCCATAAATAGCATACATGGAGGAGTTCTGGAACACATTTTGCAATTTCAGAAAATGTGGCAAGGAAGTATCCTGGATTGCTACATTTTTTTTCTCTATAGGTGTTGGCCAAAGTCCCCTGCAAATCCCAGCTTCTAAATACTTAACATGCATTATGGTCATATGTGGGTTCTGGACTGCAGTTTAGTGGACACTCCTCTTATGCAAGGATAACTCAGCAGGACAATTAATGGAGCTATGCTAGCATATTCGGATAAATGAACAACTTGGGCAAAGCAGCCCTGTGAACAAAAGCAATCTTTGAAAGCAGGAGGCCAAGTTCAAATTCCTCTTCAGCGGATGGGATAGCACTTAGACAAATGAGAGTTGTCCAGCATAATGTTCCTCCTTTGTGAGATTCTCTTGTAATGTGTGTAGGAACAATAATCTTACTACTTGCCTTCCCAAAGTTAAGCTTTAGGATTGGCAACATTACAGAGACCTTTCCCAGATTGGAATTTGGCTCTTGGGCTGAACAGTGTTCCCCACCCGCTAGTCCAGAAGAAACGCCAGGATCATGAAAAGGCCCCCAAAGCCATGGTTCTCATGGTGTGCAGAAGCCTGAGAACTCAGGATATTCTGGCAAAGAATGCCTTCATAAGAATGTGCATTTATCATGGCATGAAATGTATTCAGAATCAATTATTCTATACCATTCCAACTTTTTTTATTTTAATGTGTGTTTTCAGTGAGAAAAATAATTGGAGTCTTTCACTTGCTCCACAGTTCCAACATATTCTGACCTAATTATAGGGGAATGAGATGGCTCTAAGCGATAACAGTGCTGGAATAAATATGCAGACCATAAGTACATTTGGCCATCTCACTGGAGAACAGCTTACAGCCATCTTCAAGCAAGTTGCAAAGGAATAATTTTCACTTTCAGGGGAGATGATTTGTTATGGTGACACAACATTCATGTGTGAAGCATCTATACCATTTAAGCTTGCATTCAGATACATTTTCAAGTTGAAAGTAAGGGCTGGGTGGAAAGAGGTGGCAGTTTCTAAACAGAAAGAGCTGCAACGAAGCAAATGCTGGTGGAAATGAAAACCACTTGATCAGCCCTTGCACATTACGCTTGTGCAAATGGTTGTATGACCATAATGCACAACTGGTCACACAACCAGTTGTGCAAGCATAATGTGCCAATCATTGCTCTGATGTAACTTCAGTTGATTTCTCCCATTATGCATAGTTCAGAACCTAGTTTCTGCGAGTGCAAAGAGTTCCCAACTACATTTGTACATAATCAGCAACTGCTTCTGAAAGGGTGGCACTCCACTAGCAGGATTTGAGATGTCAGAATGCCATCAAAGGATACTAACTAATCTCAAATCAGGGCCATGCCACAGGTACACAATGGCTGTATTCACATCACACAGCAAGCAATCTTGCGTGGTTCTCATGCTTGGCATTTTTTTGCCATGATCTACTAAACAGACAATCAAATGGATGCTACATTATCTTGGTTGCCATCAAATACACCCAGACCTTCCACTGTTGGCACATATCCCATCAGCCACTGCAGCTGAAATTCAGTCCCAAGGTATACTGCTCCTTACCTATGTCACCTATCTTTTCCCAGTTGGTCCACACATGGAGGCTGGATAGCTGCAGTGGCTCCTACAGATTGTGCTTTTTCCAGGAGATTCTGTGGTAGTTGATTGGGGAAGCTATGAACCTGGGTTCAGACAGCACAAGCCATGGTGGTGTGGAGAAACCATAGAAGAAACCACCGTTTCTCATCATGGTTTCTAAAGACCAAATTTACCATAGTCAAATGCCAAACACCATGGCTTTGGAAACACAACAGACCAACAATGGCAAGAAACCACTGTGGGTTCTCATGTTGTCTGCGGGTTCTCCTTACAGAGCAAACTCACATGTGAAATGGGAGAAAGCAAAATGAGCAAGGTGTGTTGACAAGGAATAGGAGGGTCTTCTGGGTGAACCTCAGTATTGTAAAGAGACTTTATATAAAAGAGGGTGTCAAGTGGTATCTGAAAGGCAAAGTCATTTGGAGGTAATCTCATAGCCTCGGGTTATGTGAAATGGCTGAATGTCTATATACCGGGCCAGCAAAGGATACTTGCACAGAGAGTAAGAGGACACTTCCTCCAGCTTAAATAAAAGCTCACAACTAAACACACAGGGACTATTAGATCATGCTGAGTTTCTACAGATCCAAGGGAAGTCCAATCCCCAGATTATAGTGAACTTGTGGCCTATTAAAAATCAATACAATAGTAGAAATAATTTATAAAAGTGTGCATGTTTATTTGTATACAAAACAGAGTAGTAAATAGACCCACAATAAATTACTGGCATGTTTCTAGAAGGTATTTAATAGGAATACCGTGGAAAGATAATCCCACTTCATAGAATTCTTCAGAAGGGATTTTTTAAAAAGTTCAACCAACACAATTGATTTTAGTAGAGCTACTTTGCAAGGAACTCACAATCAAAATTTAAGCAGATAAATTCAGAAAGGAAGTTATTACTAAAGTATCTCTCCTTGACTTAATTCAAATATATCAGCTGATAATGCACAGCTTTGAAATGGGCATGAAAGCATGCTCATAAAATAACTATTAAGATCTACAAAAATGTCCCTTGGAGTTTTTACTATAATGCTAGTAATTTCTGGCATGCAACATATTTAGCTTCTTTTTCCTGTTTTGCCAAAGTGGTCATGTACAATATATTTTTCCCTTTAACATGTAAGCCTGTAAACAATTTCCATGACATTTAGGCAATTGGACAGAAGCCGAAAAAAATAATGTATATAATGCACAGACAGAGAGAAGAAAAAAGTTCATTGCAAGGTTTTCTTAATCACCCGCTTCCGTATTGGAGAGCTGATGCTTCTTTTCGAGATTCTACTTGTAAAATGGCTTATTCTGGGAGATCTCAGCTCATCAGCCTCCATTTCTTCACGTACAGGTGTGAACTCTGGTTGAGCAAGATGGGGCTCTGGGTAGGAAGACTGAGGATGCGGATAGGACCCATGGACTAGGTAGGGTTCTTGCTCATCATCATAAAGATCCTCAGGGTCATAGAGCTGGTAGGAGTTATGTGGCAATGGCACGACAGGAATATCTTGATCAGTTGGGTCTCCATATCCACCTTAACCCACCAAGAGTCACACAGTTAATGCAAGAGCAAAGCAGCATTAAAGCAATCGCTAGGAGCTGAGTCATTGATAAAGCTCTTGAGATACCTTCCACTTACAAAGCCTTGTAGAATTAAACAAGCATCACTGAATAGGGGAAGATTTATTATTGCTATTGTTCAGTTTTAGAGCTCAGTTAGTTGGAAACCATCACCAGCTTATTGTATTAAGTGTGCTCATTGCTTAGATTAGAATTGTCCATTACGTGGAGTGCTTAGGAAATTCTTGAGAAGTTCAAAATCAATAGACACCATCTGGCCAAGAAAAAAATATTTTTTACTACTCATTTACTGCAGTGAAAGAAAGTCAAAGCAATTGGACCTGATACAAAGAAAGGTAGTTGTCCCCCAGTCCCACTGACCACCATCTTCCATTGTTTGAGTAAGCATTAAGCACATGTAACTTGGAATCTTCTGAGCTGTGCCCTGTGTCATCGCTTATCTGGGGCAGAACAAAGTTTTACATAGCCTTTTTAAGTTCAGTTTCAAAGCCTTAAAATTTAGCAGGTCGAGGATATAAGCCAGGGGTCCTCAAACTTTTTAAACAGGGGGGCAGTTGAAAGATGGCGGTGAGCACGGGCGTGGGCCGGTGAGGCAGCAGAATGCATGCACGGCAGCTTGCTTGCTCAGAGATCTCTCAGTGAGTCCAAAACCATCTCTGCGTGAGCTAACTGCCGTGGAGAGGTGGGCGGAGGCAGGTGTGGGCATGGGGAGTCCAAAACCTCTGAATCAGGCCAGGTAAATGGGCATGGCGGGCTGGATTCGGCCCGCAGGCCATGGTTTGAGGACCCATGATATAAGCAATCCATTCATTTGCAAATTTAGAAATATGTATTTCTGTCTTTGCAAAACTGACGGATTATCCAGAAGCACAACCTGAAAGGCTGAGCCTTGATCCAGTCACAAGAGTCTGTAGCTTGGTCACATGCAAACAATGCCCCCTGCTGAAGAAGTGCATCTCAATTTGCATACCAAAACACAGCCCTTTCTTTGGGGCTTGGGTGAATACCCACAGTGCAAGCCCAGAGATGCCCTCTATACCTGCTGCATTGATAGACGTCTTCTGCATGGGGATTTTCTTGGCTCAGAGTATTGAGCTTAATAATACTGTCACATACACTGGCGGCAAGCACAATTCTCCAAGTTGCAATCCCTGTTTGGCCAAAATCTAAATCCTGATTTAGCCAAAAATTTAGCCCAGCAGGAGAGGGAGCAGCTGCTTTTCAAGGTTGCAAATGTACAAACCCTCTTTGGAAGGGGGGAAGCAGGAAGGGAGGGAAAGAAGATGGGACTGAGGATGCGAACGGGGTGCAGAATGCTGATGCAGTATTATTGGAGAAACCCAGGAAACCAAGATTGGACGATTGGAGTATCCTGGAGGGGAGTGTGGCTGGTTGGCCGGCACACTGAGCAGAAGCAGTGGCTACAACTCCTTGTTAGAGGTCCCACATGTTTACTTAGTTCTGTCTCAAATAAGACAAGGTGCTATTGATTTCTGAAACTCCTCAAGGACTTTTGGTCAGTTCCTTTCTTGATTTCCACCTGACCAGCGATTGCATGGGTCTGGCAATGTGCTTAGTGTCAAGTGTTTTAATTCTGGCAAAAAGCGCAAGAAAAAACAGCAGGCTTCCTTCCTTAGCAGTAATAATTGGTGTTGCTGGTGAAAAAGCACCAAGACAGTTCAGTAGCCATTTCTGACCTTCATCCAAATGAAAGAAAAACCAAACTCTACCAGAAACCCGTTTCTTTCACCTTCCATATTGGTAGCCATTGTAAGGGAATGAGCCTTTGAAATCAAAAAGATTTGGGGAAGAGAGGGAAAGAGGGAAGGGAGCAGATGAACAACAACAACAAAACACAAGGTCAGTAAAACAAAGGCCAGTTTAATGACACATTAATCTTGCGTGTTACATTTGAAGTCACCAAACCTTAGTCTGAACTACTATTTCTACTAACTGCAAGACTAAGGTTTTGTTTCATGCTTCACCCAAACCAACAGATTAAAGATTCACATGCAGTATATGTATATATTTACATGTTTGTGCAACTTCCTTTCATAGTCTTTCTATTCTAAAACAGTGTTTTTCAAGCTCCCTGCTTTCATTACTGTTTATCAACAAGAGGTTGCTGAGAATTCTTCAGCACAGCATAGAATTTACTCAGAGCCTGTCTTTTGCAGTACATTGCTATGGAAATTTGGTAGATGTAGGCAAACTGCCCTTCAAGGAATCTCCTTCATCTTTTACTGATCTCATTGGCTAGGATGGCAGATACTGTATATAGATGCTTATGGCACAGTAGCACTACACATTCTTGCTTCGAATTCAAGGGTCTCACTAGAAGAACCTCTAACAATATTGTCAAAGAACCCAGTCTGAAAACCACTGTTCTAGGGGACCAGGTGCGGGTGGGCAGGCACATAATTAAGGTACGATCTTTCCATGCAATAAGGATTATTATTTGAAGGACTGAAAGCCATTAATGAATTGCTGCAATATGCATTGCCATTTCAGATGGTTACAGGAGATGCCGTTAGTGACATTCATTTCCTCATGCTGTTTAAATACTCATGAATAAAGATGCTGGGCAAGTGGGTATCTTCCTCCTCACCCAAGGCAAGCATCCAGTTATGTTAACGTTTGGGTATGGAAATCACACAGATAAAGACAGTAAGGCAAGACAGAATGGGTTATTTAGACAACGTGACAAAGTCACAACACATACGAGAGACAGAAAACAACACACTGTTACGCAGCCCCTGTTACATACTACACTTAGCAGCTGTGAGCTACTTGACACCGGGACCTGGATTCAAATCCTGCCATTCTCCCCAGACTGATTCGCTGCCTGTCTCTGTGACTGCCTGTGTCTTATACATTGGTACAGCTCAGTGTCCTGACTTTCAAACCAGAAAGAGGAGGCATATACTTCAAGCAGGGAGAGGTGAAGACTTATAATTCATGTTACCAGAACCAATTTGCTAATATTGCTTTCACAAAGAACCCATCATCAGCCTAAAGGCCGCTTGTTATATCAGGTTGTACTGCATTGGTATGGTGAGCAAACACATCTTTTGACTCTCCTACATAGATCAAATCTTTCTGATTTGGTGGAATAGTAACCTATGGCATGTCAGAGGGAATTTGGGTAGAATAGCAATAGGAGTTTCTGTGCTCCTTTGTCCAGAAATGATGGAGGTGGCATTTCTGAGACCATGGAAACATGAACATTAGAACATCTATAATGCCTGCCATTGTGATATAATTGCTAAGGCGCAAGGTTTTCACTGAATGACATAAGCCTTGTTTGTGGAAAGCATTGTTGCTGAGCACAAGTAGTTCCCCCTTTCTTCCTCATGAGAAAGCTGCCAGTATCATGAAGCCCTGGAACCCACCAACCGTTGGATCACTGTCATTAAACCAACGTTCCATCCAGGTAATCCAGGTGATTATTAGTAGGCCTGCACTGTGGACCTGTTCTGAATGGGTTTCTCTCTCTCCATAAAAAGGTAAATTTGCAGCTTCAGTTTCTTCTCAATGGTCTTTGCTACTCGATGCTCCTGTGTCAGTGATGGCAGAAGGACCTCTTTCTAGCCACAGCTGGTGCACTAGCTGAATACTCTTTTACAAGATCAAGACCTGACCACCATCATTTCTGCCTTGTAACTCTAGAGCTATATTTGGATCAGAACGTTCATCCAAGCATGGATGTGTTCTGGAAGGTGTCCAAATGCACAGGCAGAGAGGGGACAATACAGCTTTGTTTGAGCTCCCTCTGTGATCAAGCAGCCAAACTGACTAGACTTCACGCTACCATGATGTTATCACATTCACCAGACCTCTCTGATTGGTTGGATCTTATCATAATAAGGCCCTTCCAACTAAAACAATAGTTCCAGATCTGTAATAGACTAGGGAAACAATGGGTACCAATCTGTCAAGAATGCACAAAAGAGGAGAAGCCAGACTTTTTTTCATACCCTTCTACTACCACTGGTAGCAACTTTGACCCTGAAAATCAAAGGCTGAAAATTCAATGCAATGCTAGGATTTGATGGTAAGAAAAAAATAACCTGGAGAAGCATACTCACCACCTGTTCCATAACCAGCACAGGAAGAAGGATCGCAGTAACCTGGGGGCCCTGTTGTACCCTGTGCCCCAGGAGCACCACTGTGCCCAGGTGGGCCTCTTGGACCTGGTGGTCCTGCAGAGCCAGGGCTGCCAGTCCGACTCTCACCCGGAGGTCCTATGTAGAACATAGTAGCAATGTAAGAATATCACCTCTACATTGCTGAAGGTCAACACCAGGTTTAACATCCTGTGTAACCTAAAATGAATCCACCCACGCATGTGCTCTGCTGATGCTTCCCCATGTCCCTGTAACCACTAAACAAATAATTCACCAGATGCTGGGATAGAATGAAGACCCGTTCATAAAACGGGTCAGCTGATACAGCTGATTCACACCAAGCAGCAGCGATGCTTGCCACAACAGATTCTGCAAAGTGCAAAGCAGAAATGCACGCCTGCAACGGCGCAAGCCTGGGAGCTCAGCCAGTCACGGTTCGTGTCTGTTCTTCACCCCCATTTGTTGTTCCACGTGTCTCCCCGTCACACCTTAGAATGCTTTAACTGCTGCCAATGCCAGTTCACTAACGAAACTGGTGAACGTCCCACATTCCATTATTTTTTGGGCTGGCTTTGCTCCATATTCTGTTTCAGTTGCCTTAGCAGGAAAATTTGTCCAGTTAATTTCAGAACTGGCACCTCTACAGTTTTGTCACAGTTTTCAGTTCATATCTCTCACACATTACAGGTTTATAACACACACGGGAGTCTTGATTATGACACTGTGAAAAGAGAGACTTTTTAATGCTAACACATCCCTCTTCTTGTGTATCTTTTAAGCATGCTCATGCATATTATCATCATAATTGATACATTGCCTTTACATCAATACCCTGTAATGAGACCAGGAAGGAGGACATGCACTGAATATTGTGGCAATCCAGACACACACAGCAATTGAATCCATTTCAGGAAATTAAAATATGGAAGAGCGGCAGGTAATTTGAACTCCAGAAGCTTGTTTAGCTGGGGAGACTTTGCAAAGAATCCACATCACATGGACAAATACACTTTGGGTACAGTTTTGTGGCTGGCATATGCTGGTTGGCAGGCAAGTTAGAGTCATTTCTGCAACTTCTTAAATCCCCTCCAAAGTCACAGCAGAGACGTCCTCTCCGGAGGGTCCTCAATTTTTCCTCACAGCTGGAACAATTCTTTCTGTCTAGCTGTGCTTTGGAGATGGAAGACCCTCTTCAGAACAGGCTTGGGGGGATTGTGGGGTAGGAGTGAGGCTCTTTAGTCCTACAAGGAATCCAGGGCCTCTTCTTTATGAGCAGGGGCAAAAGACATAGGCAGTCAAAATTTGCCACTGATGCTCAAGTCAAGGACTGCAACGTTCCATGCTTTGAGAGTTACAGGCAACCACAGTGGAGGCCTCGCTTGCTGTTTAAACTGACAATGCTCCAAAGACTGACTGAGATTACTGGAGACATGATGGCATGACCATCTGTTTACCTGCTGATCCTGGAGGCCCTCGGGGGCCTTGTGATCCAACACCTGGGCTTCCTCGCTCTCCCTTCTCTCCTGATAAACCTGGTAACATCAAAGGAGGGAAATAAGAACAGATGGGAAGGAAGACAGATTAATATTTCTTATGAATTTATTTATTTGATTGTTATTCCACTATTTTCTTTTCTTTTTTTTTTTTTAAGTAGCTCACATTATTCTCCTCCTGGTAGGTTGGGCTGAGAAATGTGACTGGCCCAAAGTCACTTAGTTAGATCCATGGCTGAGTGGGGACTAGAACCCAGGTCACCTGAGTCCCAGTCCTATGCTCTTAATCTCTACATCTCACTGGCTCGCTTCATATGCATCTTTTATTATTTAACGGATAGAAGAGGTCAAAGACAACTCACTAGTTGCCTTCACTGCTACAGCCTGAAGTCTTGCTGCGCTTGAGAAGGAAAGGCCAACATGTTACAAGCCAGGGACAGGTGTGGGATATGGGCAGGGCTTGCCCTATAATTAGCTAGGGTGAAGCTGCCCCCACCAGGAAGCTGAAGGTAGGAAAAGGCATCAACGTCTTGGAGGAGAAAGGCTGTAAGCCATGACCTACCTTGCACTTCCTACACCAGGCTCTTGCCCTCAGGTGTAGGGAAAGATGCCACCTCAATCACCAGTGTGGAAGAAAAATTCACCTGCCAGTCCTATTGGTTGCCATACCTATTGGCTATTCAACTGCTAGCCCAATTGTACCCAGAATGGGAGGAGCTGCTATCTTGTTCTTTGCCTCAGGGAGTGAAATGTCTTGGATACATTGGTCATGAACCAGTTTTATTCAGGGGTGGTGACTTCAAGCCTGGGGCCAAATTAAGCCCCTGTGATATTTAAAACTGGCCCTCCCAGGTTTCTGAAATGGTTACATACCCTTTCCTTCAACCACCCACTGTCTGGTGGCTTTCTGGCTTTGGGGCAGTAGTTTTCCCCATTCTAAAAGATTGAAATGTTTTTCCAAAGGGTGGCTGTTGGAACTTACTGTCAGCAAGAGCTTTAAGGTATAATATGCTGGTATGTTTGAATAGGAGTCTGACTTTTGCTTTCCTTTGCCCTACTCAATTTTGGACTCACTGTTTTTGCCACTAAAATATAGCTCCAAAAAGTGTCTTTAAAACCAAATTCAACCCTTGGGCTGAAAGGTTCTGCACCCAAAACTAATTTTAGGGGGATTCAGACATCTAGTGTGTCTTTAATGTCTTGGTGCAATTTTGATAGCTCTCTGTGTGTGGCATGGAGATATTCCAAATCTTTTGACATAAGCACAAAGCACCATATTTGCATGCATTCAAATACATTCAGCCTGTATTTTAGGAAGATTTGGAGTGGCATACAAAAATTACCTTCTTATCCCTACAACAAGCAATTTAGGATGCAATCCTATGGATTTAGACCAAACAACAACAACAACAAACAAACAAAAACAAAAAAACAATCCCGCAACTCCCAGCTATGCCAGCTGGGGCAATGCTGAGAATTGTAGATATTCTCTATCTAATCATCGGTAGGTATGGACCTTTAATCTCCAAAACAATTAATTCATCAATGTTAAACATTTTGTACTGTGAAAAATAATGTGAGCAGGCAGGGATCTCCCTCTCTTCTCTCTCTCTCTCTCTCTCTCTCTCTCTCTCTCTCTCTCTCTCTCTCTGGTGTGTGTGAGCATGTGTGCGTGCGTGAATCAGAGAGAGATCGAGATCAAACTATGTAATACGTCTTTACAGTAAGAACAAATTTTAAATATTAACATTCCAAATAAACATGCAATGTCTATGGAAGAATGAGCCTTTTGTTCCAACACACAATGAATAAAGAAACTCAGTTTTTGAAAGATATAGCACCATTCTCTTTCTTCTACTAATCATTTTGGCTCCAACAGCTAATTTTTATTTTTCCATTCTACAGCAGTTGGAATATCAGTTGTTTTCAATAATTTGATGTAAAGCACTCTAGTAGCTAAAACTATATAGAGAAATAATTCACCAAGTTGTGTAGGCATTGTTTCAGTGTTTTGTTTTATAAAGCAATGGCTCTAAGTCTAATTGCACTGGAGCTACCTGTAAATGGATTCTGGAATAGAAGTCAAGTAACACAAGACTGACCTGTTAAACACAACAACCATGTTCCCCTTCATTCCTACCTGCTGCTATAGCTCTGTGAGCTGCTAACAATACCAGAACATACAACAGTTCTCTTAAATGAATCAACTGGGACAGATATGGAATGTCTTAATATCCATGTTTGCTGCTTGCACTCAACTTTCACTGCATTTTAACTGCACAGTGAAAGACTTTCTTCAAAGTCAGTATGGCTCCTGGCCCTTGTCAAGAAAATTCTAAATGCTGCTGCACAACATGATGCGAATTTTAATGCCGTTATGCAGATTAGCAAAGAGAGTTTATTTAAATACATACTGATTAAATATCTTAAGAGTACTTATATGCTGAAGTAAAGTCCTATTTAGCAACACAGATCTTAGTTCCAGGCTTGCAATCTTACGGCACATGTTGCCGAATTTTAAATATGAGGCACAATCCAATCCCCAACTGATGGGCAGTCGAGAGCACAGAGTGATATAGCAGGTGCTTTTCCCGCCAGAGTTCTCAGGTGTAATCCTTGCCATCATCTCCAGCCAAAAATGGATCAAATGACAGGTGAGGGGAAAGACCACCACCTGTGAGAACCGTTGCTAGTCTGAGTAGATAAAACTGGATTATGCATACTCTGACCAAACACTTCACGAGCAGGGACTGGCAGTGGACTCAATGGCTGTTCATTCCCGGCTCATCACCAGTGTGGCACACCAAGCACTGTTCACAACTGGAGGGCCGTGCACTCCTCCTAGCTCATCAAACTATCGTCCTTCTTTTCCCCAGCATTCCACCCACCAGTTCTTCGTGGTCCAGAGCACAGCATTCTGTCTCCCACTTCTTACTTGCCTGCTCCCACTGTGACTCGCTCAGCCAGTGAAAGGAGGGGGCTCGCCTCTTAGACTTCTAGGACACAGGGACATAACTACAGTGGCCATTTCTGCATCACCCAAAAAGGACGCACATGGGCAAAAGTCAAAAGAAGCAGATTTACGTAAATGTGCAAGTTCTTTGTTTAGAAATATTTATTATGGCAGTCCCTCAGGCAGCTGCTGCACTTCCAGTTGTTCCATGGTGCCTGTGAGGACAACCATGAGTATAACAGGAACTAACACATCCAAAAGCAACCTCAGAAATAAGCAGAAATGCTCATGTGATGAACTGGTACTTCTGACAGAGACCCCCAGAGTCCCCTGAGCATCTAGTCACCTGGCACCACACTGTGAAACCCGAAGAGGTTCGTCTTGCCTTATCTTGCCTCTTGGTCCTCCAAAGCAGCAACAAACCCTTAAAACCATTTTCTGGAATAGAGTGATTGTTTCAAACTACTTTGAGAGTTAAGCTACCATTGTTTAGAAGGGGGGACCAGCCCCTAAGCAATTCTCTAATCCAATTTGCTGACTAGACTGCCAATATCAGAAATGGGGGCTATTGCATTATTGAACAGACCAACCATCAGTCTCTGCAAACTGATGGTAGGTCTGCCTTTTGGCTTGCTTTTACCGAGAGAAACCCATATAAAGATACCTCGGCGCCTCTAGAGCTTTTCTAGATGCCATCTACCTGGAAACTAGGTGCTTGCTCCCTCCCTCTCAGACCATCCTCTCCCTTTTTTGTCCTGGGTCTGGACTGAAACAAGAGGGTCTTGGCAAAAGGGCTCAGGAATTCCCTTAGCAGCTGCACAACCTAAGATGTGTTAGGAGGTTCATCCCAGGGCCATCTTAACGCCTGGGCCTGATGGGCACTTGCCCGTGGGCCCCATACTAATCTGTGTATGTTAACCCTTGGAAAATTGGAAAACTTCCAAAATTAACAGTAGTTGTAGTTGTTGTACGGGCCCCAGTACACTGCTTTGCCCGGGGCCCATAATGCTGTTAAGATGGCCCTGGTTCATCCTGGTTGAAAGCAGCATTTCAGAAATTATTTTCTTGGGAAACCCATAGGCAGAGGGTGGTAGTCCTGTAGAAGAAAAAACTAACCTCCTGCCTGGTTTTGGAACAGCTCGAGACCTCCATTCTGCATGCTGTCCTGACCTGCCCCATTCCACAAATGCATGTTTGTGTACAATTGCTTCTTGAACTGATAGCCTTTCATGATGGTGATGCTGCATCATCCAGTCTGCATTAACTACTGCTGTTTAATTTAATATGCATAGATTCATATTTAGGAATAAAGTCTGTCCTTTATTTGAAACAGAAATGCAACACATCTTGCCCTTCTGTGGAAGGACATGGCCCATAAGCCAATTAGTCTGCCATCTAGGTGCAAACTACTGAAAGGCAAATGGTTTTCTTCCTTGTTTACATATTAATGCATTTATAAGTAAACCATTCAGTGGGTATCATTAGGATATGCAATCAATACAAAAAAATCACATTATAATTCTCTGTCCAATATATCCAAACAGGAATGGTAGATCAGAACCAGCCTATAGTCAGTGAGACCCAAAATCTTGGCCTGAGCCAGGTCTTTATGCATTACCAAAGGCCACACCTCCTGGGGAAGCAACTCAAATGTAGGCTTGTATGGCCAAGAAGGCCCTCTGTTGTGTCTCCAGGTATTATACAATGGCAGGACACACAAAACAATGGTATATGAAGGACAGACCCTCAGCAGATCTTAACGTTTGGGTGGATTCCGTATGGTTTGCTATCTTTAAACCATACTTTGAAGACAACCTGTCAAATAGACAGCACCAAAAAGAGGATTGTCCTGTGTGATAGAAGACATATGGCCACTCTATACACTCTAGGAATAACTCCCAGCAGGGGATTCTGTGAAGGGGAAGCAAAATGAACATACTGTAGCATGGAAGCACTGTAGACTATGAGCTACTGCGGATGGGGTCCTGCGGGGGAAAGTGGCATCTGAATGTTATACCCCAGATAAATATCTTTGCCTTCCGTTGAGCTAGTTTGCATGAAGAATCCTCATAGTAGGGGCCTTCCC